CCTACTGCTCAGGTGCAGCAGGGAGCCGGCGGCAGGGAGAGGGAGGTCTGCTGCGCCCCAGGGGTCCCTCCCTGGCCGGGGAGGGCGTCCAGGCGGCTGTGGCCAGCTTCCCGGTGCTGCTCTTCACCCATCGGGCCACCAGGGAGGCCCCCATGGCGTGAACCCCGGGGCTGTCTGTGCTGGGCTTCAGTGCAGAAACCCCACTTTCCCGCTCCGGAGACAAATCTATGGAGACGCCCCTCAAATCTGAGTCTGCTGGCTGACCCTAGACTAGGGGACTGGCGCGCGCTCCCGGGCCCACAGGCAGTGGGAGAGTGGACGGCAGGCTGTTGGCCCCTGGGGGCTTTCGCAGGACAGGCGGGCGGGAGCTGGAGGGGGCCAGGGGCAGACTCAGGGTCTGCACGGGGGGGGGGACCCGGGGGCCCTTGCGAGGGGAGCCAGGCAGGGTTCCACGGGCACCCTGAGTCTCTTCCCTTGGGGGGCAGGGAAAGCACACCTGGAACCCCTGAACGTTGTGGGGCGGCCCTGGGCCCACAGGGCCTGGGACAGCCGAGGAAGCAGGCAGGAGGCGCTCCCCAGGGGTGCGGTGGGCGGGAGAGAGGGCCTAAGGGTGGAGGGTTCCGCCTGCAGATGGGGGGGGGGCGTGAGAACGCAGGTGCCGTGACTCAGACAGTGACACTCCAGATGTTTTTCTGGGGGACAGTTGCAAAGTAGGGTCTGCGCAGCTGACGTGTGGCAGATAACGCCACCCCGGTGATTAGGGCGAGTAAGTCACGCAGGGTCAGAGCTATCAGATGGGGGTAATGACGGTCACTGCCCTGGCCAGCGCCATGCCAGCCCGGTGTCCCCCGCAGCCTGGCGGGCTCCCGTGGGGGGAGGGGGCCGGGCGCCCCGTCGGGGCTCGGCCGGCCCAGGCCCGGTGCCCGCGTTCTGCTCCTGCGTCAGATTTTCTCTGTTGGGGCTCGCCGCGTCCTGCGGGGCCCGGGTCCGGCCCCCCCGCCCTGTCCCCGCTCTTCCCCGTGGGGTTTCGGGGAAACCAGCCGTCTGCGCTCGGGCCGGTCAGGTGTCTTGGGCAAGAGCAGAAACTGCTGATCCTGGCTGCTGCTGCTGCGGGGTGCTCAGGGTGGAGCGGGGAGCAGGCTGTGGCTTGGGGGAGCCGACTCAGCCCTCGGCCGACCTGTCGGTCCAGCTGGGTGACTGCCCCGCCCGGCCTGCCCCTGCCCCTCTGGCTCTGTGGGAACCCGCGGGCGGGGCTCAGGCTGCCGCCACCCCCCAGACCCCAAGGCCCCGTCCCGCCAGGAGCCCCCGCCCTGCGACGCGCCCAGGCGCCTGGCCTGGGCCCCGGCCACAGGCCCAGCGGCCCAGCCGGCCAGGACTAGGACGGTCCTTTCTGCTCCATGCCGCCTGGGGGCCCTCGGACGGCTGCAGCCGGGGGCGGGGTGAGGGGGCCCTGGCCTGGCCGCCTGTGTTTTTCTTTCTCCTTCCGCCCTCGTGCTCTGCTCGCCCCTGGAAGCTGGCCAGAGTGGACGTGGGGAGGGCGAGCGCCGTCCAGGAAGCCCAGCAGGTGGGCGCGGCCCTGGCGGCAGGTGACGGCAGAGCTGGCCCTCGCCCAGAAGCGGCGCACCTCTGAGTCTTCGCGGGGTTAATGATTGCCGATCCCCTCGCCCCCAAACAGCTCCAGGAGAGGCAGGAGGTGGCAGAGCTCCGGGTGGAGGCTGGCCCCAGGGGAACCCGTGACAGGTGCAGGGAAGCCCCTCAGCGGCCCACGGGGGGGCCCCGGAGTCCGCCCACACGGAGTCCGCCCCAAGGAGGCCATGTCCAGAATCACCTTTCACTGGCCTGCTATTTGTGTACACAACTCTGCATTTTTGGGGTGCAGCCTCACACCTGGCGTGGGCAAGGGCCTCCCCGCCCTGCACCAGAGCCGCCTTGCCAGTCCCCCCAACACCCCTTCCCCGGCCCAGGGGCTCTGCCTGCCCACCAGCCTCTCCTTTGCTCAACTGGACAAACATGGCCGCCCCCCCCCCCGCGTTTGCTCTCGGGGTCGGGGAGCCAGCAGTGTCAGCATCGGCGCAGAACGGGGGTCCAACTCCCTGCATCTCGGGCCACTGCCCCCCCACGTGCCTCCGACGGAGTGCCAGGACCCCTGAGATCGCCCTCCAGTGGGGAAGGGGAAGGGCACGTCCCCCCCTTCATTGAACGCCCTTCATAGTGACCCCACAAAACCAGCTATGTTGGGTGCTGGGAAACCACGAAGGGCCGGGCGAGGAGACGGAACCCCGTAATTATAATAATTTCCACAGCTCGCCCAGCGGGCGCTTCCCAGGCTGGGCGCACCTGGCACAGACACCCCCGGGGCCTTCCCAGCCCCGCCCGCCCGCAAGGTGGGGTGATGGGTGGGGGCGAGAGTGGGGTGACGCCTCAAGCTTCTCTGCAGAAACAGCCCCAGCTGGCCCGGCCACCCCTTGGACAGAGGTGGACGAGGGGTCCATCTTGTCGTCAGGCGCCCTCAAGGAGGGGCGCCTTGTTGCAGCGCACCCCGCTTTCCCTAGAGCCTCTCAGCAGTGCTTGAGCAGCGTCTTCAGACAGCTGATTCGGAGGTTTCCCTCTGAGCGTCCGGGGAGCCCGGAACGCCAGACAATAGGGGCCTTCACCCCCTGCCATGGCTGTGGGGGGCGGGGGCCCCGCCGGTCCTCCACCCGCCTCTGCCTGGGGCCTGGCGTGCTTCAGCAAGCCCCAGTGCAGACTGAGCGTGTCTGTGAGGCAGTTGTCGGGGTGACTCAGCCCGAGTGGAGCCGAGGCTGGCCCTGGGGTCTCCGCTGGGGGGAGCTTTGCTTCTCACCCTCCCCCAGCTGAGCTGAGATTGGAGGATAGGACTCTGGGGCATTGGCGCCCCAACCCAGAGCCTGGGGTGACACACGGGGCGCCCCATCCCCCCCAGCTCAGGGGAGCCCTGAGGCGGCCCGGGACCATGGTCCTCTTTAACAAGAAAGGGGTGTCTGGCGCCTGCAGGGCGTGTGGCCAGGGACTCCCCAGGGCTGCCGTTTCCGGAGGCGGGGCCGCGGCCTCCCGGGCCGACCCCGGGGTCAAACTCCTGTCTCCCGGTCGGCCAGGGCGGCCTCGTCCGGCTCCCTGGCCAGCACGGAGCATGGACAGGGCTGTTGGGAGGGCCCCCCCGGGGCGTGTCCCGGGGGGTCGGGGGCAGCCCCCGCACGCAGTGAGACGGGTCCAGGCGGAGGGAGGCCGGGCCGGGCAGGCCCCGCTCGGGGCCCCGAGGTGTGGCCATGAGGAGCCGAGCTTGCGCAGGTCACTTGGCGGGGCCGCGGGCTGCTGGGCGCCGGACCCCGGGGAGGTGGGCGGCCTGGGTCTGTGTTCCTCAGTCTGTGTGCTGTGAGTGTCCGGCAGAGCGCCCTGGGGAGCGGGCACGGGGGTGCTGACCACAGCCGTGGTGACCGCAGGCGCCTCCCGCTGAGTGGGACAGCCTCTGCGGTCAGCCTGAGTTTTAAGTCCAGGCGGGAGCAGGTGTCTGGAGGGACTGGCCCGCCGTATGCAGCAGTAGGAAAGCCCCCCACCGGCCCCACAAGAAGGGAGGCGAGCGGAGCCTGGCCCAGGCTCGGGCCGCCCCCGTGACCTTCAGTGTGGCCTTACGGCCACTGTCCAGTCACAGAGCGTCAGTTCCGGCCTGGACGGCGGAGTACACACTGGGGGTGTGTCCCCCAGACACCCTCCACCACGGAAAGGTGGTGTGCACGCTGGGGGGACCCCAGCCCCCCTGCCCTGGGGGTGCCCCCCAGGCCCCTTCCCTTCCACCACTGGAAGGCGGTGTGCACCCCAGGGGTGCCCCCTAGCCCTCCTGCCGCTTGAAGGCGGTATGCACCCTGGGGGTGATCCCCAGCCCCCCTGCAGGGGGAAGGCGGTATGTACCCTGGAGGTGCCCCCCAGGCCTCCTCCACCACTGGAAGGCAGAGTGCACACTGGGGGTGCCCCCCAGACCCCCTCCACCACTGGAAGGTGGTGTGCACCTCAGGGGTGCTCCCCAGATCCCCTCCACCACTGGAAGGCAGTGTACACCCCAGGGGTGCCCCCCCAGATCCCTTCCACTACTGGAAGGCGGTGTGCACCCCAGGGGTGCCCCCCAGCCCTCCTGCCGCTGGAAGGTGGTATGCACCCTGGGGGTGATCCCCAGCCCCCCTGCAGGGGGAAGGCGGTGTGCACCTCAGCAGTGCTCCCCAGACCCCCTTCACCACTGGAAGGCAGTGTGCACCCCAGGGGTACCCCCCAGCCCTCCTGCCGCTGGAAGGCGGTATGTACCCTGGGGGTGATCCCTGCAGGGGGAAGGCAGTATGCACACTTGGGGGGGTCCCCCAGGTCCCCTCCACCACTGGAAGGTGGTGTGCACCTTAGGGGTGCCCCCCAGCCCTCCTGCCTCTGGAAAGTGGTATGCACCCTGGGGGTGATCCCTGGCCCCCTGCAGGGGGAAGGCGGTGGGCACACTGGGGGCGTCCCCTGGCCTCACCACTGCTGGGAGGTGGTGTGCACATCGGGGGTGCCCCCCAGAGCCCCTTCACTGCTGGGAGGCGGTATGCACACTGGGGGGGGTCCCCAGATTCCCCTCGCTGCTGGGAGGCAGTGTGAACCCTGGGGGCGCCCCCGGCCCCACTGCTGCTGTAAACACAACAGGCTTTTGCCTCGCAAGCGTAGTGCTATAGCAGGAAGGTCCCCCGGAGTGCGGGTGGGGGCTCCCCCAGAGGGCCTCTCTCTGTGGCGTCTGTGGGCCTCGGCGGTGGGGCCCCGCTGCGGGCGCGAACCGCAGCTTCCTGCGGGGCCGAGGGCGGGGCCCCCGCCTGTCTCTGGGGCTGTGTCCCCCGGAATCGCCCTCTGAGCCACAACCGGCCTGAATTACTCAGTGTTTCGGCCGGGCGCGGTCAGCGCCTCCCCGAGGACGCAGGCGGCCCCGCCCGGCCCGTGCGCCCTTGTCCCGCCGTAAAGGGCTGCGCCCGATGCCGCCCTCGCCCCTCCCCGCCGTGCCAGAGGTTGGCAGCGTTCGATTCTGCGTCAGCTGGTTCAGGGCAAGTCTGGGCACCACCGGGGGCTGGTTCAGCTCCGCGGGAGGGGCCGCACGGCACTGGGGACCAGACTGCCGCCTGGGGGGGGGGGCGGGCGCCCAGCCGGGCAGGTGGGCAGGGTGGACGCCCGGGCCTGCCTGGGGCCCTGTCGTCACCCGGGAGTGGTTCCCAGGAGAACGCGGTCCTCACCCACATACTTTCAGCCAGTACCAGCTTGTTGGGGAGCCCTGCTGCCAGGGGGCGGCTGGATGCGAATGTCGGGCCTTCCCAGCGCCGGGTGGGGCGCAGCCAGGTGGCCGGGTGGGGCTCCCCCACACACCCTGCCCGCTGGAGCACATGTATTTACCTGCGTACAGGAGCTGGGGTGCGGGCCAGAGGGGTGGGGGGGCCCGCCCTGGAGGCGGAGCGGGGAGCGGGACAGGCGGGTCCCCTGGAACCCACCGTGAGGGGCAGCGGAGGGCCGGCAGTCTGCTGCGCCCCGGGGCCCCTCCCTGGCCG